ACACAGACAACCACACAAATTTTTTGTAACATTAACCATGCTAACGACACTAAGAATGGCTAACGCATTCAATAAAACAATGCAACAAAATAACTCTACAAACAAAACAACAACTGTACAACACTGTATTGTACTGTACGACACAACAACAACACAACAACAACTATGCAAAAAGACAACAACAACTGTACAGACACAACAACAACAACACAACAACCATGCAAACAGACAACAACAGCAACAACAACAACACAGCAACAACAACAACATCCGGTCGAAAGCCGTAATGAGAGTTGAGGTAATAAAATAGAATTTGTGCTTTTTTGAACTGAGCGTTTAACAATTAGTTAAATAAATATCCTCCCAGGGGATTTCATCGCAGGGCAACGTTCGAATGAAGGAATGAATGGATGGATGAATGAATGAATAGATGGATGAAGAGATGGACGAATAGATGGATGAACGAGAAATTACACGAATAAATAAATGGATGATTGGATGGATCGGTATACGTATGGATGAATGAAGGAATGAATGCATATATGGATGAATAGATGAATGAATAGATAAATAAATCAATCAATAGAAAAATGAATGGATGGATGGATGGATGGATGGATAAGTGAATGAATGAGTGAATTGATAGATGAATGAATGAATGAATGAATGAATGAATGAATGAATGAATGAATGAATGAATGAATGAATGAATGAATGAATGAATGAATGAATGAATGAATGAATGAATGAATGAATGAATGAATGAATGAATGAATGAATGAATGAATGAATGAATGAATGAATGAATGAATGAATGAATGAATGAATGAATGAATGAATGAATGAATGAATGAATGAATGAATGAATGAATGAATGAATGAATGAATGAATGAATGAATGAATGAATGAATGAATGAATGAATGAATGAATGAATGAATGAATGAATGAATGAATGAATGAATGAATGAATGAATGAATGAATGAATGAATGAATGAAGAAACAAACAAATAAGAATGAATGACCAGCAGTAGTAGAAAAAAACGGATGAATGCAGGAATGAACGAACAAAGGTATAAATAAATAAATGAAAGTAATACATTTCTGAGTACGTATGTGTTTGTGCGTGAGTTTGTGTGCGTGTGTACGCGCGTGTATGCGGTACACGCGATCTATAAGAAAAGTAAAACAAAGTTCAAATTGAGGTCGTAAGTTAAGTTTCCGTCCGACCGTCTGTTTGTTTGTAAGTGCGTGTGCACCGGCAGGCACGGACATGTGCACCTGTGTAATGATGCTAATAAATAAATATTCATTTATTATGAAAATATGTCTGCAACTTCAACTGGCTGATGACTATATACACGTAGGCCATGCGGTTTTGCATAATCCTCATAGAAATAAAGAACCGTGAAAATAACAACAACAAAAACAACATCAATAATATCAACACAACAACAACACAACAATAACAATAATAATAATAACAAAAAATAAAATGGCGACGCAGATGATTTTGATAGTTTCAAATCAGAGTTTTCATTTTGAAGTCTAATTGAATATATACGATCTTTTGAGAAATGATCTCCAATCACGTGACAATCAAGCGTGCGCGCGCGTTTTGTTGGTGCGCGTGCGTAAAAATTGTATATCTGCGTGTCCGTCTGTCTGTCCGTCTGCCTGTCTGTCCGTCCGTCCGTCTGTCTGTTTTTCTGTTTGTCTGTCTGTCCGTCTGTCCATTCCGTTGGCCATTACGATTAACTTTGTTTATATTTGTTCATTTTCGTTCTTATGAATTTATTTTTGTATAGAAATTGCAGGATTTAATTTATGAATTAACAAAATGTGCGTCTATTAGTCTCATGTACGTCTTTGCTTATCTACGTTTGTGGAATGAAGTGTATTAAAAATATATCTGTACGCTCACGTTTCCACGATACAACATTTCCCAATGTGAGAATGTTTAGCTGATTAATGATATTTTTTAGGAAAAGTTTGCTTCCAACACAACATTTTTAAAACAGAAAAATTATACACATCAGCAATCTCGTGCAGTATTCTAAGCACTCTCATCACACGAACGTATCTGCACACAAACATTCACGCACGCATACAAGCGCACACACACAAACATTCACACACGCACACACACACAAACATTCACACACGCACACACAAACATTCACGCACGAATACAAGCACACACACACAAACATTCACGCACGCATACAAGCACACACACATTCACACACGCACACACAAATATTCACGCACGCACCCAAGCGCACACACACAAACATTCACGCACACATACAAGCACACACACATACAAGCACACACACACAAACATTCACGCACACACACATCGCTACACTCGTGGACAACTAATAGCCACACACGCCCGACGATATTTCACTTGCAACTGCCTGGCACGACATGATGTTAATTATAACGGGCAATCATTTGACCGATCATTAGCGCTCCTTCAAGCTAACTCTGGCGCGCAAATCTGTCTCTCCAATTCACAATCTCTTCCTCCTTTCCTTTCATCATCGCCGCATCCGTTTTTCTTCCATCTTTCTTGTGTTGTTGTTTTTTTTTATTATTACTTTTGGTAATTTTTCTTAAGTGATTATTCACTTTCTTTTTTTCATATCTCATGTTTTATTTTTGTCACCTTCGTCTGTTTATTTCGTGCTGTCGATGCTTCAATCTTGTTACATCATAACTTTATATCAGTATCATCAAACTGTATCATGATAACCGATGTTGATAGCCAATCAGAATCAAATGTTCATAACAACGTCTTAGGTATTATCATTAATTTGTTTTTGTCATTTTATGAGTAGCAATATTACCTTTAACATCACCACCACCATCATTATCATTACCATCACCACCATCATCGTCATCATCACCACCATAACCATCATCATCGTTACCATAATCATCATCGTTACCATAATCATCATCATCATCAGGATGAGCTCACAACCAATAGGAATCATCAATATTATTTCCATCGCTACATTGTTAACACTCCCCTCATTACTTCCCCTAAACATCATTACTATCATCATCACCATCATGTTATCATCACCACCACCATCATCGTCATCGTCATCATCAAGATTAGCATCATCATCAGCATCATGTTATCACTGCCATCATTATCATCGTAATCACCGTCATCTCTACTAACATAGTCATTATCATCTTACCTACGATCATCCTCTGACAATGGAAACAATTAACGGACCAACGAATCAAAACGAGACGAAACGGGACAAAACGAGACGAGACATCAGCAAGAAGAAGTAGTAGCGTTATAATAAAGAATATAGGCCGAGCAATCCTGCCTGGGTTTAATAGCCATCCTGTGTATTCTACATAGTTGAGATATGCGCGCTTAACATCAATGCCTACACGCCCACCAGCGTATAAAATAAAAATAACGGTTGTATCATGTGTTAATAGTATGCGTGCGTGTGTGTGTGCGTGCGATTTTTAGGTTTGTATATACATACTTGTGTATATGATTTTTTTGCTAGGTTTTCTTGCAATTATATATGTTTGTGTGTTGTATGCCTAAGAGTGTATGCGAATGTTTGTCTGTATATGTATGCGTGTTTGTTTGTTTGTATAGATTTGTAGGTGTGGCCAAATACGTGCGTCCCGTTAACGATTTTTGTGCGCGTGCATGCACGTGCGTATATTTGATTGAGTGGGTGTTTGGTGTAACGTTTTGTTTACGCGCGTGTGTTGTTTGCAGATAATTATTTCGGCTAATGTTTGTTTGTTTGAATGGATGAATGAATGGATGAATGAATGAATGGATGAATGAATGGAAGAATAAATGAATGAAGGCACGCAGCAACTGTGTGTGCGTCTATGCGTTCCTGTCTCACTAAATACAATCATGTAATAAACTACATCAACTGCGTGTGATTGCAAATGTTTCAGGACAGACAATAAATAATGCCAAATTTAACAGGTCTAAGAGCTTATTTGTGAGTATTTAGTGTCCGAATCCTTGTCTTTTATTTTTGTTTTAGAGAAATAAAGCCAAGAAAACAGTGACAAAACACTATGATGTTGTACTTCTGAAACATTTAGATTGAAAAATTTGAATATTCATGAAGGAAATATATATATATATATATATATATATATATATATATATATATCAATGATTAAAAGTTATAATATGAAAAAACTTTGTATAAAAAAATAAACAAACAAATCGATACAAATAAAGCAAAAAACATGATAAAATCACACATTCAAAGAATTAAACAACCACGCCTGGCTACGAAACATGAACTGAAACTCAGTGAAGAAACGCTTAAGATCATCTAGTTTAAACAAATTCAGCAAGACTACAACGACTTGTTTCAAAAATTCAATTATATAAATTAACGAAATAATACCGATACCCGGATATTACCGACATTCGAATACAACCGGCACACAGATATTTAACTCGAGACAAAACGATAACACCAAAGAAATATATAGGATAACAAAAGAACTAAGACACCGATATATATATATAAATGCGTATGTGCGTGTGTGTTTGTCTGTGTACGTGTGTGTGTGTCTGTGTACGTGTGTGTGTGTGTGTGTGTGTGTGTAAGTGAACGAATGAAAGTGACTTTGGGGTATCTATATCTATTTTTTTAACATGGCTTGCTGCAAAATTTTTTGTGGTATTTATATAATTATACAAAAAGCGTAGAAATAAAGACCAAAAAAAGTAAAAAGTGCACACACACACACACACGCACACACACAAATTCAACAGATTTTTTATTTATTTACAATTTTTACGAAAAATTCAAAGTAAAAACGAAACAGTAGTATTTTCAATCAAAAAAAAATATTGAACAAAAAAATTGAATAGCGATTCATTTGTTAGTTTAGTTGAAAAGAATACACACACCACACACACACACACACACATACAAACACACACACACACACAAACACGTACACACATATGCAAAAATAAAGATAGGCTTAATGCACAGATGCAGAAATATATTGAAAGATAGACACAGATGTGATTATATATATATATCATTTAAAAGATACACTATCCTACGTGAAGAGTGTTGTGAAGATTAAAAAATACACACAACAACAGTGATAAAAAGGAATATCATATATCAATTAGATACAATATATATATATGTAAAGCCTGCTTGATTTAAAATTGCGATAATAATAAAATTGGAAAAATAGATTAATATATAGTTAAATGAATTAATAAAATAGATTAATAAATAATTAAATGATTTAATAGAATATCTGTATCTTCTTCTGTATAGAACTTCGATCCATTGGACACGTTGTTAAGATCTGCGAACACTTCAAACACGTACATATGTGCCCGCAGTTCAGAAACAATACATCGGACTGTTGTGTGTGTATATGTGTGTGTTGTGTGTGTATCTGTGTATCTATGTGTGTGAGTGTATTTTGTGTGTGTGTGTTGGTCCACAGTTCAGAAACAATACATCGGACTGTTGTGTATGTATGTATCTATGTGCTTGTGAGTATCTATATGAGTGTGTGTGTGTGTATGTGTGCGTGTGTGCATGTAAATGGTGCACGTGTAACGTAAATGTAAATGTACCTGCTTAAAATAATTATTTTGCGTTGTTATTACAGTCTTGTACAATTGTATATAAATCAATTTGTATATTTCAGTACAACACTAAGTACAAACAGATATACAATCCGATACCAAATATAGATGCAGATACAAAACTAAGTATACTAATAATACAGATACAAAATATACAAATATAGATGCAGATACTGCTTTTTGCTGAATAAACTCATTATTGACTCAAATAACCTCAAAACTAAGTATACTAATAGTAATAATACAGACACAAAATATACAAAAGCATACTAATACAGATACAAAATATACAAAAGCATACTAATACAGATACAAAATATACAAACGCAGATACAAATACAAGTGTACTGCTAGAGATAAGGAGTGCATGATAAGTAGTAATAACTAACGGTCCTTTCCAGGCAGACGACGCATTCGGATCTGAGCTGGGGCACTGGGACAGAAGGTAGTGGAGTGGCGGCTGTGGCAGCGAATGGAAGTTCAGTCGACGTTTTCGTGGCGTCCAGCCACGGCGAAGGTAGCGGCGCTGTTGGCGTCGGTGACTGTGGTGTCTGCGACCATTTTGACTGGTCCTGTTTATGACAGGTTTGGTTTGGAGTGGTGGGTAGGTTTGATCGCAGTACGTGTGGACGAGTAAGATAGTGGCGATTGTATACATGAATAAAATCATGTGAAAAAATATTAATGGGTCATACGTCGACCAGCGATAAAACACCAGACGAGAATGCAAATAGTGATAAAGTAAATGATGGTGCATAGCTAGGTGACGATGGTGACGATGTGAATAAATTATGATTATTCAGCAGATGACGAGATGAAGAAAGTTAGGGAAGAAACCGCAACTCACAACGTTATTTCTCATCCAAGCCACTTTTTGGAGAATTTTGTTTCGAGCGCCTTCATTTGAAACCCCTAACTGCATTAATTATGATAATATTAATTTATTAGGATAATAATAATTATAAAAAAAAGCAAATTCTTCCTAATTATTCCCATCACTTCATCAAAAACCCTCTTGAACCAGCACAACCCTCACTATGATTCATCTTTATCTCATCGCAAATGGCAGTACCCACACCAAAATCTTCAACACCTCACCATACTCTCACCATTCCTTCCTCGTTATCTCACCTGTCTGAGAGTTCGATCGTCCGTGGAGTCGCTCATCATCGTCGCCATCGTAACCTGCTTCCTGGCGAAGATCGGTATGTACTCCGTTGTGTCCGTGACCTTCAAGAGGTCAACGACGTCAAGGTCAATCTGGGCATCCTGATAATGATAATAATCGTATCTTAATCATCTTTATTGCCACCCTTAAAAACCATCAACATTATCATGATCGTCACAATCACAATCATCATCATCATCATCGAAGTCATCATTATCACCACAACTACCATCACCATTATCGTCATCACCATCACCAACCAGATCAATTTCCGCTTTGGAATCGAGGAGCCTCTGATATTGAACCAGCCAATAATCTGCCTGTATCGATTGACATCTGTTCTCCATCTCGACCTGATCACGACGACGATGACGTAGCAGATGATGACGTAATAGATGACGTAATAGATGACGTAGCAGATGATGACGACAGTAATAAAAATGATGACGATGACGGTAAATGATAATTAATACGAAAATTATGACAAGATAAAAGAGATTATGATAATTAAATCAGTCCAAAAACCAAGTTAACAATCGATATCGATCGATCGATCAATCAATCAATCAATCGATCAATCAATCGGTCGATCAATCGGTCGATCAATCGGTAGATCAATCGGTCGATCAATCGGTCGATCAATCGATCGATCAATCGGTCGATCAATCGGTCGATCAATCGGTAGATCAATCGGTCGATCAATCGGTCGATCAATCGATCGATCAATCGGTCGATCAATCGGTCGATCAATCGGTCGATCAATCGGTCGATCAATCGGTCGATCAATCAATCAATCAATCGGTCGATCAATCAATCAATCAATCAATCAATCAATCAATCAATCAATCAATCAATCAATCAATCAATCAATCAATCAATCAATCAATCCATCAATCAATCAATCAATCAATCAATCAATCAATCAATCCATCAATCAATCCATCAATCAACTTATAAACTGACCAATCTCATCCTCAATTC